TAAGTTGGCGTAAGAAGAAGGGCTTAATTGCTTTGATCCCCGAGTTCAAGGGCTTATATGCATCAATTACAGTTTAGGGGCTTAATAGCGATTCTGGGGTTGGTTCAGGGGCTTAACTTATGGTTTTGCCAATAAAATATCTTATTGACATTTCTGAATAATCTAGGACATCCTTTCCGGGAAACAGTTCATTCTAAGTGGCGATGGCTGATGACGCACACATTGCCTATCTATTCCATTATTTAAAATAATTTTCAAATCCAAACCAAAGATTTAATAAATTATATGCGTTAATTAAAAAAAAAAAAAAAAAACCCACTCTGCATCCATCCATCCAAGTATGCAATATTACTAATAAGAAAGAAAAAAAAAAAAAAAAAAAACCCACTCTGCATCCATCCATCCAAGTATGCAATATTACTAATAAGAAAGAAATTTTGGATTAATCAAGCTGAATTAAACTCATTTGAAAGAGTAATAATAAGCAAGACGAAATATAAAAAAATAAAATAAAAACAATTAATTCTCTTCCATTGATTATATGTGAGTCTAGATCCCACATAATCAATGAATTAGAAGTTTAAAACAATTTAACCTTGTAAGTTTTCATCTTCTATATCTATTAAAAATATTGTAGTGCAATTTATCATACGTGAACTGCATTATTTTTAATTACTATTAAAAAAGTATACCTCTAATAAAGAGAATCCGTCTTTCCATCAATAATTATAAAAAGTGCAATAACTTTTTTCAATCTAGGGTCTTTAGCATTCAACAAACCAAACAAAACCTAATTTCCATAATGGATCCATACATTGTCTAGAGATCGTCTCTTCCCAATTTAACAAGAGTAACATTTACACATAGTAATCATAGTTACTAGTCCAAACCATACTCGAGTATCATTTACCTAATGCGGGAAATGGCTTGATTATTGGCTAACATAACCAGAACTAAAATGCCATGAAGTATGGTTTTTAAAGTTTAGCAATTATTCCATTCTGAACAGGCTTAGCTGCGATCTCATTCTCCTTTAGATCCATGTCACTAGCACTTGGAGGGACATCGACTGCTGGTGAGCAATTAAAGAAACCATGAGGCTGCATCAAAATCAGAAAGGGTTTAGGGAATTTTGGTTCTTCCAAAACAAGATGTTGAAACATGATGAATGATACTGAGAATGTTACTAAAAAACTAATGTTTTTTTTTATACCTACTAAAAAACTAATGTTGAAACATGCAGCATGTCATGATGGTTAAACAATCAGACAATTTGATCAAACAATTAATGTTTTTAGGGTGAGAGAGTACCATCAGTATGAATCCAATGCGATCCACTGGCATGACAGGCCAGTCTTCCAGCCTAGGAATATGAGTCACCCCAAAAACATACCTGTAAATAATTGACATTATCAGATATCATAATGTAAAGAATTAGAGGTCACGGAAATTCATTCTCAAATCATTTGCTTTTTGAGCAGGAATCGACCACTCTAAGATTACAAGTCTGATATGAATAATAGTAAAAATGAATAGTAGATAAACTAACCAAAGAACAATATCAGCTTCTTCAAGGGGGCGATTTTGCTTAACCCAAGTGGCTAATCCCTCACCAACACGAGGGTTTTGATTAGGAAACTCTCCTCCAGGATACATTTCATCACGGGCATAGGGTGTGACCCAAAGATTATGTTTCAAGAAAGCAGCTCTTCTTAGGAACTTTGCCTCAGAACCAGCCAAAGGTAAACAATTTGAACCTGGTACTAGCTTGTAACCTGTTAGCTGGCCAGTCCGATTGACATTTCTTGTGTTTCTAACCTAGATTTGGAATAACAAGTACCAGTCAAGAAATGATTTTAAGCAGGCTATCTTCCGCCAGAGAAACAGATAACTCAGTGAATCATAAGGTAATCACAATAACACAGTGAGAGATCATGATCAAAACATTTTATATACTCCTTTAACATGGCTTTGACAACAAGAATAATTGTGAACTTACATCCAAACAACTTGATGTTTTAGCAATTAGAGATATTATTCATAAGTTGCATAATTGCAAGTGTAGATGTAAGCTATACAAAAATTACAACAGTGTTTAACAGAGTAAATTTGAAAGATAATAGATAAGGAACAGAATAAAACTCACACAACCATATCACTCCTGCCTGATTGTCAAGAGAGAATAGGACAAAAAACTACTTACAATCCAGTGGCGGGCAGTCAACGGATTACAGTCACGCATTGCTTGAAGTTCAGATCTAAGCAGTTCCTCTTCTGCATAAAAGGCATTGTTATGAACATTATCCTTTCCCGGTTCTTCAACTTTAACATTCACTTCAACAACCTGTATGAATAAATGCATACATCTTAGAATCATTTAAAAGCATGTATCAACAATACCCTTCTTGTTGAATAGAAATAATTATTGGAGTGTTGTAATGTATAAAAGAATTAGAAAATAATTCTTGTATCGACTGATAAATGAAATTAAGTACAATGACAATAACCAGAATAACTGAGGTTACCAAGAAAATATATTGGCAATAAAGCAAACACTCTAGACATAATTAGATTGGGAGCAACGATTATATAGCCCTTCCAGGCTCCAGCATTTCTGCCAACCCACTCAACTAAAAGGTCACAAAGCTCCAAAACCCAACAAATAAAATGAGCTAATCTCAAAGAGCCAGAACAGCACTAGGCAACCAAACATTAAAGGGATCATGGCCAAAGTCTGGACAAAAATTTGAGACATCCATGACACAGCCACAACAAATGAATCATATATTCTAGGATGTGCCACTTGCAAAAAGTAAGATAACAAGGCTACAATGAACTTACTTGATTGAATGACTCCCCAGGCTTACAATCAACTGCCATGTCCATGCGAGCCACAAAGAAGTGTTGATGAACCGGTGCATATAATCCAGGTGCAATTGTGGTGCCATACTTTCTTCCTTCTCCAGGTTGCAGTGCTCCCAAGCTGAGAATTCCAGTGAGTTTAACCTCGGCTTCAATCTTACCATCCTATATATACAACTGTGTATCAGTAAGATTCTCTGTGACATACTCCCAAAGAAAGGGGAAATTTTACCAGAAAAAAGCTGAAGAAGAGTAGCAAAAGACTATAACTACAAATAAGAGAATTTATAATGTACAAGCATTGCTCATAAATAATGCAAACTTAAGTTTTAACTTCAAAAGCCAAAGGCCAATTGTTTCAAACATTGCTCTCCGGGAAGCGATACCCTATAATAATTAGATTCTGGGGACCAGTTGAGATGAGAGTAATGGAGAGTAACTTGTTTATTCATGCAATATGGGCAGCTAATAAGGAAAAGAAAATTCTGGCTCATGCTGACTTGCCTGGTAAAAGTGCCAGAAGAACCCATACTCATAGTTAGCCACAGTACATATAAATGACACTGTTAGCCTTCTTGACCTTCGAACCTCTGCTAAACCAGTTCTCCAGTCTTGATGCTTCCACAAGATTCCATGATCCTCTTCATGCAAACAGACACAATTCTCTATTGTTTCAACACCTCCAGTGAAATTTGTAAAATGAGCATCAAAGTACTTGATATATCCCACACAATCACAACCCTGTGGCAGTATGATAATACCAAAAAGGAGAAGAAATTAATTCAATGAAATGAACAATCTAATGACTCAGCAGAAGAGTAGAAAGCCAAAATGTGTCAAACCTTCTTAAGTGAATGCGCATTTTTGCCCAGTCCATCTTCTCCAGCATCAAAAGCATTCTTTCTGTAATGTGGATCATTTGGATCTCCATATGGGACTACCATCTCAACAAAACTTAATCTGTGAGCCACAGGCCTCCGACCACGATTACCATCAACATAAGCAACAGAATAGATCACCAAACCCTCTCGAGGAGTAAAACCAATGCGGAAATTCCACTGGACCAAAAAATTAAAGAAACATCAATACAACATCTTTAACTAAGAGGCATACTCATGGCTTCACAACTAAGCAAGCACCTTCTGCCATTGCACAAAGTGTCCATCTATCCGGAAACTAGGACCTTCAGGTTGAATGATTTGTAGTGGTTTCACATCACTCCTATCAACACCTCCTCGAGTTTCACCAGCAGTGTAATTTCTCAATGGATCAGCTGGTGGGAGAGGGACAAGCTTGCGGTCTTCAAACTCAATCACCACCATATTTTGCATATCAACAAGTACATGAATTCCTTCAACCGGACGAGCATAACCATTCTCCAAAGGGCAGTCACTCTCTGTTCTACAGAATATTAGTGGTTTAGCAAGTCTCCGACTAGGAGCATCAGCCTCACTATGATATCCTACACACCTGCAATAAAAGGTTCAAAACCAAATTGTTCTAAAGATTAAGACATGCATGGGAGATATATTCAAAAAGAACAGTCATGTATAAGAATCCAAATGTAGAAACTAACCAGGGATCAACCATCACAAGTTCCATATCCTCAATGCCCCTTTTCTTCATAGCCTCCCGAAATGGAGGAAAGTCCTTAACTAGAGCCTCACACTCAGCATATTCCACGGCATCCTAAAATTTCAGAACAAGAAAGGTCATACATGGATGAAAATGTTGGTTAATATCAGAAAGGTTTGGTGGGGGAGGCTTGTCAGAAGTAGCACAAAATAAAAACTAATAGTTCATTAAACACAAACTCATTTTAAGCAAGGAACCTGACTTCTATAACTTTCAACAAGTACCCAAATAATTGCTTAAAATCTTCAAAAACTTGAAAAAGAAAAATAAAAGAGAGAGAATAAAATGGCTTTAATAAAAGTTCAACCAGAAAACTACATACCATGGTGCCAATCAGAAAAGAAAAATGAAAAAAGCTGCATACCATGGGAGGTTGGACATCTGGAACAACTTTAGATGAAACAACTTTGCCCCTATGGTGGCCACCTCGAGTTGTAGCATGAACCCCAGATAGTTCAACAATCCACACACTAGTCTCATTTGACTTCTTGTTATAGACAACAAGTCTCGCTTGCCTTGGAGGAAGTTTAGTAGGAATCACAGGCCCACCCTTTGTCCTGGGAAGTAATGATGGCTGGAATGGAGGGAAGAAATATGCATCTGCCAATGCAACAACATGCTTATCTGGTTCAACCAAAACCACTTCAATAAAGCGCATGCCATCTCGCACCTAAAGACAAAAATCACTAGAATTATTTCTTCTGTAAACAGAAATCCTAAAAGTTAGTTAATCAACAACATAAAAATCTAAACTTCAATTCAACTTAGAGATAAGAAAAGTGTCATTGACCTCAGGGGTTTTCCCAGCAGTTCGAACAGTTGCAACTGCCACTGAGATTTCTGCAGCTGACAGAGGGTCCAAAGGATGACTGGTTTGAGCCCTTGACATAATTGAAACTCCTATACAGAAAAAATGGCAAATTTCACAACCAAACTAGAATCAGGCTAATACCATTCAGAGGGTTAAGAAAGCATCTGCTGAGATCGCTACTCAGTTGAACTAAACTCCAGAAATTGGAGACTTTACTTCCCCTGAATGATCCTAATCCATTTAAAAATTAATAATAAGGTATAAAACTAAGTCAAAAGCATCTTCTGTTAAATCTGATCAAAATCAAGGAACAAGAAACAATCTGTAGTACAAAAAAATCATACAGCAAGATGAAGAAAAAGCACCTCCAAAAGAAAAATCATTGGTTGCCGAAAAAATCTAAGCTTTAATTAAAAAAAGAACAAACACAAGCTCAGACAACATGAATCTCATTTGGGTCCCAAAAAGACAAAGACGCCTTCTTATTTGACTTCAACACCAGTACTACTGGCTTACTTGAATGGCATAGCTTCATAGTTTCATTCAAACTTAAACATAAACAACACGAAAAACCCAAAAAAAGGGAAAGTATGAACATTCAGATTCAAAATCAAGATTATCCAGATCATATTGCATTAGAAGTGAAGAAGACGATGTTCAACCTTTGGTGGGAACAGCAGTCTTAGTAGGAGGAGGATCAGAGAGAGGCTCAACAGGGCGGATCAAGGTCGCCATGGAGGGTGTCTTTCGGGTCAGATCCTGAGACGGGTCAGAGCCGGCAAGGCTCCAATTTTGCAAGACGCCCTTGGCAGGGGGTGAAGGCTTGCCGTTCTTGTTGTCGATCTTGTCGGCGGTGACGGCGGGGTTGATGTAAAAAGGCGTCGCTTTTTCCTGAGTTGTGGCCATTGTAAAGGGTTAGCAAGCTCACCGTATCCACCGTAGTAATTTTCAGTGTAGTATGCTACTGACATACAGCAAAAATGTCTCTGGTTTTGCTTCGGCAGAGCGCACCTTAAGCTTCCAACACAACAGAGAACCAAACACTGAAAAAATTTTCTATCACTTTCCCGGGAAACAAACGTAAGAGAGGTTTAAAAAGTTGCGGATCCTTTCTATGAAGAGGAATTCTGGAATTGTAGTGCCTGCAGAAAATGAAAATGGTACTTAAATAAATCAGTTAGAGATGCTTTTTTTTTTTTTTTTTACTGTTCGAACAATCGAACTGCACTGAAAAAATCAGGGGCCTGTTTGGTTATCCTGATTTCGGAAAAAGAATCCGGGTAACAGATTAACATTAACCATATGGTAAGGTTGAAGAAAATGGAGGAAGATGGGAAGAAGAGTGAGAGAAATTATAATTTTTTATATTTTTTTATTTAGATAAATAATTAAATTTAAAAAATAAAGTAAAATCAATTTTTTCTCTCTTTTTAATTTTTTATAATTAAATAATTTTCTTTCCTTTTTCTCAACTTAAATATAAATTTTTTAATATGAAAATTGCAGTACAATATAATTGATTATGATGAATTGTGTAAGATTTTTCGAAGTTATTATAATAAATTATTTTATTTGATCAAATTTAGTTATTTTAATTTAATTTTTATAAATAATTTTATAAAATAAATAAATAACAATTAAAATTTTCTTTCTTTCTTCAAATAATACTTGTTAAGTATTTTTACTTAAATTAAAAAAATTAAATTATCAAATTGAAACAACTAAATCCAACTAAAAATAATATTTGTAGAAAATATAGATTATAATCACTTCAAAAAAATCTTTAAAAATAATTCTTTAATCGACATTAATCATTTTTTAAATTTATTATAACCAATTATATTACACCTTAACATATGAAAAAATTTATTTTTCTAAATCAAGCCGCATTGTTTGTTGGTCACCTACCTCAAATTCTCTTATCGAGATCCATTGTAACCGAACAAGGCCTAGATATTAATTTGGAATTGGAAAAGGCAAAACTACTTTACACTAAACTCTACATCTTTGTTTAGAATGATTGTAGTTTTTAGTATATAGTTTTGATTTTGAGTTTTTTTAATTATTTGTACCTTTAAAATACTAGTTAATGATTTTTTTTTGTCATAAATATATATAAAAAAATGTAAAAACTAACATTAATTGTTTTAATATTGGTGCCAAATAAATAAATTTAATTGGAAAGTTGATAAATTAAAATTGAACTTTTATTTTTTTTAATATAAATGCATGGTTAAAAAATATATTTATTACTTCTTTAATTTGTACTTTAAAGTCATATATTAAAAAATCCATGTAATTTTTAAAATTCAAACAATGAAAATTAATAATTAAAAATCAAAATTGAAAATTAAAAATGATAGTTTGTTGGGTGTAAAGCTTTAAGACTAATAATCAAAACTTGAAACTTAATGAACTTATAAAACTTCTTAAATTTATTTCAAAATTTTTAAAATTTAAAATTTAAAATTCAAAAAAACAACAATGTGAAACGAAACTTTTAAGTGATGGAGTGGAAGCTGTCTTTAGTAGGTTTTTTTTCTTACAATGATTTAGATTTTACAAATTTGAGAAGTAAGAAGAGTAACTAGTCAAATTATTGATAAAAAATTACTTCTTTACTTGTATAGCTAGAGTTTGAACATTTGAAGTTTCAACAAGCAAGCATGTCTCATAAAATAAAATAAAATAAAAACCCTTTCTTCACAAACTGTTTTTCAACGTTTCTAAATGTAATTAAATGAATGTTCACATCTCTAATTCAGAAGTGTAACAAAAATTCTCTAATAGCATATTAGATTTTAAGTGGATGGAGATTAGGGGAGGAAAAAGTTTTTGTCCAATTACCCATTTCTTCCTCTTCATTTCTTCTATGATATATTTAGTTGATCGAACCCTCAAATTTACCCCTAAATAGAATGGTAAAGATAGATTCACTCTTGAAAAAAAAAAAAGACAGGAACAAATTGTCTCTTTAAATTATTGATTAAAATAAATTACTTTTTATTTAATATGTAATATCATTACATGTCAAGAATTTATTTGTTATTTAAGCATATTTTTAATAGAATGTTAACATGTGATGATGTCATAAATTAAATAATGAGTAATTGATTTTGATTGATAATTTAAATAGATAATTTATCTTTACTTTTTTTTCTTTTTTTTTTGTTTGAGAAACGAAAATATCCCTACCTCATATTTAAGGGTGGGTTTGGGTGTTTGGAGTTTGGCCTATTTAGTTTAAAGTAAATGAAAGAGACGGGAAGGGAAGGAGATGCAAGGAGCTTCTCCCCTCTCCTTCATTTCAACAAGTTAAAATAAAATGAATGAAGGAATTGGAAACAAAATAAAATAGGGGAATTTTCTTCCCCACCTTTGTCTTCAGTTTCTTTTCCTTTTTTAAAACTAAAATAAGGGAATTGTCTCCCTTTCCCTTGCCCCGTTTGTTAGTCTGTTTTCTTGTGCACAACCTACGATTAAATCAAGACAATAGGTTAAATTAACATCTTAATTTAATTAGATGAAACTTTTTTTTTTCTCTCTATTTTCTTTAAATCAAAACATGCTATAAAAGAAATAAATTTAGAATTAAAAAATCATAAAGACTTCCTACAAAAATTATTTTGAAAAATTAGACCAAATAAGTATTCTATCAATCTCAAAATAACTATCTGTATCATTTAAGGTAGACAAATACCCCTTTGTCAACATATGGCTTTCTCAAAAAAATGCCCACAGAAAAAGAAAGTTAATTAACAGCTTTAATTATAGGACAATAAAAGATTGAGCTTACTAAATTAACCTTTTTGAAATTTTCAACATATTGATCTATTTTTTAAACAATAATCTCTCCGTATTTAATGAGAAGGGAGGGGGTAAAGTTGGAAAATAATAATTAATGATGCATTTGTTTTCTCAAAATGTCAAATAATTTGAAACAAAATTTCTTCAGTAAAACGTCATTTTTTTTCTTTTGAAAAGGACAGAGTATATATCTTATTCTATTTTAAATTTATCGTTATTTTTTGACATTATCAATTATTCATAAAAATTTTTTTCTTTATCTTTTATATACTATTTTTTAAGAAATAATAAAAATAAAAATTATTTTTAAAATTTTAATTTAAAAAATAATTATTATTTTGAAATAAATAAAGCATTATAATAAGCATATAGCTTTCTTTCAAAAGCCCTAAGATAAAGCATGTGGCTTATGTATTGTCTTATATCATTGGTAGTATAAGCTATAATATAAGACGAAGGTGGACAGGCCAGGAAGTGCAGATAATCGGACAACAGAAAAGTGCGAAAAGAAGGAGCCACGTTCATTATGTCCTCGTCACGACCAACCACAAGCGGCTAAGAATCAACAACTTTTGACACACAGTCACCCACACGTCAAGGACAGCTAGTCAATTTGTAGTTGTATGGACTACAGACGTCCCCACCCCCATATGATATATGATGGTAAAGCCTCACTTAAGTTCATTTTCATTGGTCTCCAAATGTGGGGAATTTTTTTAATATTTCCACTAGGTTGGTGAATATTGTGAAAGTTAAATGTCAACTTTAGTCTTTGAATTTTGTACTCTAAACACTTTTGATCCTTTAACTTTAAAACTTATAATTTTTCGTTTTTCCATAAGTTAAGTGATTCTGTGTTGTTAACTCGTTAAAATATTTATTTTTCTTCAAATTTTGGATGACTATCCTTTATAAATTGGTACCTTAACTTAATTGAACAAAATATATGGCATCTATGTTGATAATTTTAAATTAAATAAATGAAATAATAAATTAAAAAACTAAAAACTATCCACCATTTAAATTTCTTTATAAACTAAAATATTAAATATTAGAAAATAATAAAAATACCCTTAAAATCTTATTCTCCTTCCTCCTTAGACTTCTTCTCCACAAAAAAACATTAGTTAGGCATCATGAATTCAAATAAGCTAATTTAATGACATACGATTTCCACATCATCCAAAAAGGTGTTATTTTAGATTGAGTTAACAATTATATCATCATTTAACATATAAAATAACAAAAAAAAAATGTAATTTATAGAGTTGAGAGACAAAAAAATGTTAAAAATAGTTTAAGAACTAAAAGTGTTAAAAACAAAAATTTGAGGATCTAAAATTGATATTTAACCTGTTTTGAATATTCCAAAGGAGTGTTGTGTGGGTGGTCCAAAATAATGAAAAAGGTGAGTGTTGTGTAGGGCCGCTTATAAATCTCTGTCTTACCATTTAATTTAACAATTAAGTGAATTCTTAATTGATATGTTTTCGTTGGTTTCTGCATGTGGAAGATTTTCTTTATATTTCCATTACTTTAGGTGAATATTCCGAAATATTCTTAGTCGGAGTTCTGCGGATGGCAAAAACATAAAAGGCCAGTGTCGGGTGGGCCTGCTAATAAATTTGTACGGAAATATTTTTCGGTATTTTAATTTTTAATTATTTTAAAGACATGTTCCATAACGCTCATTTTATATATATATACATATATTTATTTTGATATTGACCTTTTAGTATTTGATAATCATATTAAATTATAATTAATTTAAAATTAAATTATATCATATCTTATACAAATGAAAGCTTTCGTAATGTTTATTTTTTTCATTTAAAAAATTTAAATATGAAATTTTATTTAAAAGAAACCAAATTTCTTTTATTTTGAAGAAATAAGTCATTGATAATTTTTTATATATTCAATTAAAATAAATATAATATTCAATATATTATATATATTTAAAATATTAAAAGAAATTAAAAAATTTTATAATTATAGTTATAGATCAACACTTTTAAATAAAATTTTAAGTTCATTATTAGTGAACACTTAATTGATATATTTTTTTATATT